ATTAGAGTAGCTGTTTTCCCTTTTGCAAACTCAATTCCAAAGTCTAGTGTGCCTTGTATATATCTCAACACTCTTTTGGCAGTTCCCATGTGTTTCTTTGTGGGATTGTGCATAAACCTAGCAAGCAAGCTAGATGCAAACATGACATCTGGTCTTGTGGCAGTCAAATAAAGCAAACTTCCTATAATCTGTCTGAATTCACTTTCATCTGCTGCTTCACTTCCATCTTCTTTACACAGTTTCTCATTCACCACTAATGGAATTGCCACTGACTTGCAGTCTCTCATTCCAAACTTCTCAAGGAGTTTCATAGCATATTTCTTTTGGTGAATGAAAATGTGCTTATCAGTTTGTACCACTCCCATGCCAAGAAAATGGTGCAACAAACCCAAATCTGTCATCTCATAGTGTTGCATCATATCTTGCTTAAACCCTTCAAGCAATTTAGGACAACTTCCAGTATATATGATGTCATCTACATAAAGTGAGACAATGATAATACTTGAGGTGTCATTTGTTTTGATATAGAGAGTAGCTTCACTTAAACTCTTCTTAAAACCTGCAGTGTTGAAGTAGGCATCTATTTCATCATACCAGGCCCTTGGGGCTTATTTCAGTCCATATAGAGCCTTGTTCAACCTGTAAACCTTGGTTTCCTTGCTCTCTTGAACATATCCTTGAGGCTGTTCAACATAGACTTCCTCCTTTAGAATGCCATTGAGAAAGGCAGACTTCACATCCAATTGATACAAACTCCATTCCTTTTGTGCAACAAGGGCAATCAAGGTTCTGATGGTATCTAGCCGTGCCACAGGGGCAAATGTTTCATTGTAGTCAATTCCGGGCTTTTGTGAGTAGCCTTTAGCCACTAGCCTAGCTTTATTCTTCTGCACAGTACCATCTAGGTTCAGTTTGACCTTGTAGACCTACTTAACACCAATTACTAGTTTGTCAAATGGCCTATCAACTAATTCCCATGTATTGTTCTTCTCAATCATCTCCAATTCAGCCTCCATTGCATTTCTCCAAGATTCATCCAAATCTGCTTCTTCAAAGTTGTCAGGTTCCACAATGCACATATTGCATTTTGCCAAGATGTCATTAATACTTCTCCACTTGTGAGGTGTGTGATCAAATGTTTGAGACCTATCAAGAATTTCCTCCCCTTGAGGTGCAATTTCTTCTTCCACTTGCATTTGAGTATCCGAGAACTGAGTTTGTTCATCCAATACCCTCTGTTCAGTTTCTGCAGTACCTTGATTTTCATCTGACATAGGCATTCTCAACTCTGCATTGCTAAGATTCTCCCATTTCCATGAGGCTTCTTCATCAAAATAAACATCCCTAGACAAGATAATCTTTCTAGTCTTAGGGTCATACGATCTATAGCCTTTTTCACAGAGTCCATAGCCCACAAAAATGCATTTGTGACTATTTTCTTCCAACTTGTGTCTCAAAACAGAAGGAATGAGCACATGACATATACATCCAAACACTTTCAAGTGTGCAATACCTGGCTTCCTTCCAGTGTAGGCCTCAAATGGTGTCATCTTCTTAAGGGACTTAGAAGGACACCTGTTGAGAAGATAGACTGTTGTATGAACAGCTTCTGCCCAAAACTCATATGGAAGACCCTTTTCATGTAGCAGACTTTGCCATTTCTATTACAGTCCTGTTCTTCCTCTCAGCTACTCCATTTTGCTGAGGGGAATATGCTACTGTCAGCTGCCTTTGTATTCCATGTTCACTACAATACTCAAGAAATTCTTTTGACAAGAATTCCCCACCTCTATCACTCCTAAGAGATTTCACCTTATGTCCACTCTGCAGTTCTGTCATTGCTTAGCAATCAAAAGCATTTGATTTATTTCTAAGAAAATAAACCCAAGCCATTCTTGTATAGTCGTCAATGAATAACAAGAAATACCTGTTTTCTGACATTGATGCAGTTTGCATTGGACCACAGATGTCAGTGTGAACTAATTCTAGTGGAAACTGAGCTCTCCAAGTAGATTATGCAGGAAATGAGTCTCTATGCTGCTTTCCTAGCTTGCAGCCTTCACAAACTGCAAGATCCTTCTCCAGACTAGGCAATCCATGAACCATGTCCTGATTTCCAGCAGCCTAATGCTTTGATCATTAAGGTGCCCCAGCCTTTTATGCCAAGTTTGCAAGCTATGAGTCACACTTGCTCTCAGCACCAACTGAGTAGCAGGTACCATTGTGAGAGGAAAACACCTATTGCTAGTCATTGGAACCTTAGCTATAGGATTTTGCAGTGACCAATCATCAAAAATTGTCACCATTCCCTTTCCAAATACTAAGCAATACCCATGTTCCATCATCTGACCAACACTGAGCAAATTCTCTTCTAAACCAGGCACCAACATCACCTCTTGAATGTGTTTTCTGCATGTCTTAGTTTCTATCACAAGTGTGCCTTTCCCTGCAACTTGAACTGTTTCTCCAGTCCCCATTTTCACCTTGGAAGTTACATCCCTTCGAATATCTACCAGTAGCCTTTCATCTTCAGTCATGTGGTTACTACAACCACTGTCCACATACCAAGAATTGTTCAACTTCACATCTGTCATGACATTGCATGCATAAAATAGTGTTCCAGCTTCTTCAACCTGATTGGCATAATTCACCTTCTGTACAGATTGATTTCCATGACAATCTCTGACCATGTGTCCAAACTTTCCACATCCTCTGCATTTTGGTTTTCCCTCAAACCAGCACTTGCCATAGTGCAGTTTTTCACAGTGCGTGCAAGGTGTTTTGGTTCCTTCATTTGATGCATTTGGTTTGGGGTTAGAATTAGACTTGTTACTCCAATTCTTCCCATTTCCCTTCCAGTGCTTCTGAGACTTGTTACTTCCAGAAGAGCTTCCATTCTTGGAACTTTTCCTCTCTATGTTCAGGCTAGTAAAAGCCTTTTCTGTGGAATTTTCAGTGTGCCTATCCAATCTGAGCTCAAAGTTCTTGAGGGATGCAACCACTTCTTGAATTTCAAGAGTGTCAAGATCCTTGGAATGCTCAATCACATAACATATAGAATCATAAGATCTAGGCAAGCTAATAAGCAATTTCTGCACAACTCTTTCTCTAGATAACTCTTCACCATAACTTTTCATTTGATTAATTAGATCAAACAGTTTAGCAACATAAACAGAAAATGATTCACTATCCTTCATACGAGTGTATTCAAACTCTCTACGTAAGCCTTGTAGCTTGACACTTCGTACCTGTTTATCGCCTCTAAACTCCTGCTTCAGAATATCCCATGCACCCTTTGAGGTTTCTTCATTCACTATTCT